AGATAATGTTAAGAGCTACATTGTTGCCACAGTGCAATAGTAGACTGCAGCTTGTCTTATTTTTTGGAAGAGAGGTTGGTCTTCTAAGAAAAAGACTTATACCCCTGCCTACTTATACTTATTTCCATATACAGCATTTGTAAGTATGTGTCTATGTAGACATCTATATATTTATCATAGACAGATGTGTATTTAGAATATATATTGGATTTCTATTAAAAGGTTTCTTCCATTAATCACTATTGCTCTGTTATTTTCAGAACTGAAGAATAAAATTGAAATGGACTTCTGCCAAACATTAATTAATATACTATCAGTTTAGTCATAAAAAGTGTTTCTTTTGTGAAAAAAAATACAGATTTTGCAGAATTGTGACTTCAGCAAAGTGAGTTAGGTTAGTGTCTGGTGAGTGAGAAGAAAAGAGTTTTACATCATCCACAGAAATCAAAACCAGCTCAGAGCCTAAGAAAGCACTGCGGGTAATCCCAGCATGCATCCATGAACATGATTAACAATAGCAATTTAAAGGTGTACATTTTCAAATTATGTGTGAGGCTTTAACTCTTGAAAAATATGATGAAAGTCATGTGGCTAAAGGTCATGCAATGCTGTGAAAATTCAGAAGATTAAGATCGTTTGATTAGATCACATGAGAACCATAAGATCAAAGCATCTGTAATTCCAAGTTTCAGGATAATGGAAATTTGTAAGGCTCTTTATGTCAAGAGATTGTAAATAGCTGGAGGAGTGCAGAGGGTGAGTTCACAGAACACTGCAATGCGTGGGTAGATGCATCTACAGGTGTGTGAATGTAAGTGAAGTAAGACGGTGTGAATAGATTTTGTCCTTTTTCCCACACAGGCCTCTTTTGCACGTGCATTACGTTCCCACATGTTGTAGTATGGTACTCAAATACACAGTGTTTATCTACAAGTTGTAATAATGGATTCTATTAAGAGTTTTGACAGGTGCCTATCACAGTTATATAGGCCTGTTATAAATACTCCATCAAATACCTACTGTCATGGTTTCACCTCAGCCAGCAGCCAAGCCTTGTGCAGCCGCTTACTCACTTCCCCACCAGCGGGACTGGGGAGAGAATTGGAAGGGTAAAAGCCAGAAAACCTGTGGGTTGAGATAAAGACAGTTTACGGAGAAAGCAAAAGCCATGCAAAGCAAAACGCTATTTACGAGAGGGAAAGCAGGTGTTCAGCCATCTCCAGGAGAGCAGGGCCCCATCACCTGTAATGGTGACTTGGGAAGACAAACACCATCACTCCAAACGTCCCTCCCTTCCTCCTCCTTCTAAGGCAAAGCCCATATGTCTATATCCACTTAGATGCCCATCTCACTCATCCCATTTTTCCTCTCCATAGTTCACCTTCTGAAGGCAGCTCCCTCCACTCTATCATCCCTTTTTTTTTCTTTTCTTTTTTCTCCAGGACTTTCTTTTGAGTCTTTTCATGGATCTTTTCTTTACTTTTTTTTGTTTTTAAATTTCTGGACTTTTCTCCCTTCTGTGCTGTTTTTACTTCTCTTTAGCAGTCTTGCTTTTTTTTTTTTTTGCCAGAAGGAAGAGGAATTAGTGACAAATAGGTGAATCCCAGAAGTTTGGTTCCTTATCTGATGTCTCTTACATTATGAACTTTTGTATTTCCAAAATTGGCCTGCAAAGTTCATGAGAACAGAAAACTCATGAGAAAAGACTGTCTTGCATGATTTTGAGTGTTTTCCCCTTTTCATTTGGCAAAGGATAGAATTTGAATAGAGGACTTTGGCACTCTTACTTATAGACATTGCCAGAAACTGGAAGCACAAAGGCATACAAAACTGAAGTAAAATGAAAATAAATTAGCCAAGGGTTTTGAAGCTAAAAATAATATGGTTTGCAGAGTTCAAATTTTAAGAAAACGTTCAGGGTCAGGAGCTGGAAAATATCTAATTTGATATGGCTTTAATTTACCCATCGATACAGTTTTTTTTAAATTTTACAATTTGGACCTTGCATTCCACAAGAAAGAAGAGTGGTATTTATCCTGTCAAATTTCTGCCTGACTGGGTATCAGCAAGCTCTGTTTTATGTGCTGGATGCAGTTCTTACACCATGGAAGTGATGATCTCTGTCATAAAAAAAATGCACTGGAAGTAGCCAGATAAAAGATATTTATTATCCAGAAAATACAAGTGGGGAGTGTGACTTGCCCAGTTGCAAGGAGTGCTGATAGCAGATGCAGGTGCAGGATTCTGTTTAGAAATGGCTCACACAGAAATAATTTTTGGCCTTTAAGAACAAAGCTTTTTAACACTATTTGTTCTAACAACAACCTGAACTCCAGAAACTGGAGGCTAATTGTAAACCACATGTGGTCAAGAGTTTCAAAGCAGACCGAGGGTTACAACTGTGTGATGAGGTTCATGGTGGTGGTAAGTGCCTTCAGCCACCTCTTAAAAAGCAGAATGCCTTAGATTTTGTGAGAAACTAAAAGGTGTTTTTTTCATCTGATGGAATCAGACCTCTAATTTAGTTTTCTTCAATTTTTTTTTGTGTGTGAAATAATAATGGCCAGTCTTCGTGAACGAAGATTTGGGGAAAGGTCTTTTACCTTTCCAGCCTGCGCAATGGATTTTTTAGGTGAGACACAGCCTGCGCTGAACTGAGCCCACCCTTTAATCCTAAGGTTCATCTGCCGGGGCCAAGCAAGCTTGGACAATGGCAGTGAGGTCCTCAGGACGTAGGTTTGTTTAGAGTGACCTTCTCATAGATGGATGGCCTCACAGGGCTAACGAGCTACCATCTGCCCGGGGGACTTGGGATTCGAACCCGTGGTCGCAGCAGTGAGAGTCCTGCATGCTAACCACTAGGCCACCAGGGGTCCCCGATGTGTGAAATAGTGACTACATGTAAATCTAAATATATTTTGTATAGTACACTCTGCTTACACTTGAGCATATATCTTTGGGCTGACTACCAGATAATTTCTTGTATTTGTCTGAGGCATTAATTTGAATTTCTAGGTGAACTCAGAAAAGAATTTAAAAAAATCCTAAAATACAAGAATTCCAAAATCCATCTTATAATAAATTTATTGGTAAATGTATAATGTGTAAGAGCAGAAACAAATACGAATGATGGAGCACAGGACAATCTTTCAAAAATGAAGTCATAAAAACTTAATGTGTCTGGAAGAAAATGAAGTCCAAATGTTTCACATTACATTTAGGAAACCAGTGCGGTTTAATACGACTTACAATTTTTTACTGTACAGCTTGTTGTAATGGACAATATAATGGCTGGATGAAAAGAAAAATATTTTAAACCAAACTGAAAGTAAAATTACATTAGCTGCTGCAAATAAAACTAGTTACTGGTTGTAAGATACTCCATGCATGGATGCTCATACAAATGCCTAGTATTATTGTGAATAATGTTGAATGGAAATGCAAGGAATCTGGCAGTTGAAAGAACCACAGCAGATAAAACAAAGAAAAGATGTAAATAAAGTGGATCTTACTCCAGCCTAAAGTAGTAGAATTTAATATAACAATAGTTTAAGATCTTGGCATGACACTTAGGCTGTTGCTTGCATGAATCTAAAAACTGTGGGACAAAGAACACAACCTCTGGAGTCATATTATGTTTTCAAGGGTGAGGAGCACAAATTTGTCCTTGAGATTCCAAGTTGAATGCCTTAATATAACTCTGCAGCTTATGTCATTTTGCAACTATATGCAAATATCAGATGTTTTAATACACTTTAAAAATCCCATTTTCTCCACAGAATAATTGTGCATAAGCTATCCATTTATTACTACTTTTATATGCCTTTATTGAAATATCTAGAATGATTCACTGCCCTTGATTCATTAGTACCTTTAGTGAACCTTTCTGATGAACCAGGAGATCAAGGTTTGTGAAGACAAAAGGTGGGGCCAGTCTCAATCAGGGTCTGTTTGTATGGGACAGAGAATATGTTGGGAAGGGCATCTGTGGAGCAAACAGGCCGTTGAGAAGCGAAGATAAGGAGCAGGGATGACAAGGAGCAGATTAGCTTTTATATTCAGGGTCTCCTTGACTTCACCAAGCTATATAGGGCCAAATTAGAGACATGCCTATTGGGAGCTTCTGCATCAGCTTCAGAGGAGAAAGTTATACTGAGGACATCTTACACGTCTGATTGGTAGGAAACAGAGGAAGAGGCCTTTTCCAAACAACCAGTGGAAACTTTACACCTGCAGGCACCTATTGTTATGGGTGGCCTCAGCAGTCCAGACAACTGCTATGTGGATAATGGGACTTCATGAAGACAACCCAAGGCTGGACTGTGGGAGCAACACGTTTCCAATGCAAATGTTGGAGAGGCTGCACAGGGGTATTAGTCTGGAGGACTTACTGCCCACAGATTGAGGAGGAGTGATGAAAAATGCAGTCACTGGTGTCATCTTAAGCTGCAGAAAGCATAAGGCAAGGGAGCTCAGAATTTGGAGGAAGGCTGGAAACAAAACTCTAGGGTTAGGGATCTAGACTTTCAGAGAACAGATTTGGTTATTTAAGAAATTGCTGAGCAGAGTCCTCTGTGATGCAGCCATGCAGCAGAGTGCCCAACACAGCTGGATGACTCCTTCAAAGTGAACTCATTTGAGGGATAAGGAACAAGCCATCCTTTTGTGTGACAAAACTAGGAGTTTCAGCAAAAGACCAGCTTGACTGGAAGGGTGAATTTTGATGAACTAAAATACAAATGGTGAACATGTTTGAGGCAGAAACAAGAACAACAAAGGATGAATATGAAAGGATCATTAAGGTACTTAGGGACAAAATCAGGAAAGTCAAAGCCCAGATAAAGCTAAAAATAGCTTAATTAAATTGAATAAGAAGGACAAGTTGTAAAGGAAAGATTTGGGGCTGCTGGTGTATAAGAGAAAACATAGTGTGGGTTACATGGAAAAGGCTGAAGTACTCAGGGCCTTTTTTACCTTTCTCATCTCAGGCAAAACCTTCTCCCTGATCCCCACAAATACTGGAACAGTTTGGAAAGGAGCCAGAACAGTGTGAACAGGTTAGAGGCCACTTCATATGGACATGTTCATATTCCTGGGACTAACCTAAAGGTGCTGAAAAAGTTGGCTACTGTAATTGCCTTCCTGGCTGCTGTGATTGCAAGACTCCTGTGTGTTGTCTGTGAAAAATTGTGATGAATGGAAAAAGTGAACAGTACAGTCATGTTCAAGAATGGCAAAAAAGAGGATCTGAAACACTGTCAGCTGCTGGCTCACCTCAGTCTCTGCGAAGATCATGGTGCATGATCTTCTCCTGGAACCCATTTTTAAACTCAAACGGGACAAGGAGGTAATCAGAAACAGACATCCTGATTGCTTTCTGTAGTGAAATGACTGGTTATAAGAATGAGGAGAGAGAAATGGATATGCCTTTAGCAAGGTTTCTGATCCCAGATCTGTAATCTGGAAGCTGAGAATGTATGGGCTGGATGATCAGACCATTGGGTGAGTTGAAATGACTCTGTGTTCAAAGTATCCCAGAGCTGATAACGGAGCTGATGTTCCTCAGTGCTTTTATCAGTGACCTGTATAATAAAGCAGAAAGCACTGTTCAGCAAATTTGCAGGCATCACTAAGATAGGGAGGAGCTGTTGATACAGCAAAGGACACAATTTCTATCCAGACTAGCCTTAAGACACTTGAAAATTGTGCCAGCATGAATTTCAATAAGAAGAATAACTATCTGCACCTGGGAAACTGGGAACAGGTTGGGTGAGAAGCAGCCTTATTGCAGACCTTGAGAATACAGTGGAGGGCAAATAGAGTTACTGGCTTGAGTAGGTTGAAAAGGTTTCTGGAGGTTGACTTGTTGATCCTTCTGCCATTGGATGAGGTTACTCAGAGCCTTGTCCTGTTGTGTTTGAATATCTCCACACTATAACTTGATACAGTGCTTATCTACCTTCACGTTGGGAATTTTCCCTTATACTGAGTTGGAATTTGCTGTGTTCCAGCATGTGATTTTTACCTATTGTCCTTTCTGTGCCTCAGAAAAGAGTGGCTCTGTTCACTCTATAGTCTCTCAGTGTATTGCTGTAGATAGCAGTAATATATCCCACTGCCTTCTTTCTCTCTACTGACCAAACCCAACTCCCTCAGTTTCTTTTTGAACATCTTGTGCTTCAGCCTCCTGACTACCTTGGTGACTCTCATGATGGAGTGATCCCAGAGGCCAATATCTTTCTTCTACTGGAGTGAGCCCAAAGTGGGATACAGAACATGTGGTCTCACAAAGCTGGAAAGAAGGAATAGTCACTTCCTTTGACTGTTGGCTAAACTCTTTAAATACAGCCCAAAAGCTGGCTGTCTTCCTTTGCTGCATGTGCACACTACTGACTCATTGTCAGTTTCTTTTCCACAGGGACACCAGAGGCTTTTCTGAAAAACTGCTTGAATAGGAGCCAAAAGTGCACTGCTATTATGAGCAAGGAGAAGTGGATAATGGGCTACTGCACACCTTGGGAAGGTGTGGCCAAAAGATTGGAGGAATTTATTATAACCCTCCACATGGCTCTGGTGAGACTGCATCTGGAATGCTGAAACCTGTTTTAAGTCCCCTTTTCCAGTGGTTCTTGAGAATGATAAGAGTCTAAAGGAGGCCTTTTTCAATGGTCAGGGTTTTTGAACAGATGGCCTTTGCAGAGGGGTTGCAACAGCTGGACTCATTCAGCACGGAAAAAGGGAAGCTAAGGGATAGTCTGGCAGCAGCCTACAAATTTTTGAGTGGTAGTTGCAAAGGCTATGGAGCTTAAGTCTTTGCAGTAGTGGCAGATGATATGAGACAACAGCAGAGTTTCAGTTTGAGGGGTTGGACATTGGGAAAAACTTTCAGTGGGACAGTACAGAAGCAGAGGAATAGTTCACCCAGAGAGCTTGGGTAAACTTGGGGATTTTCAAGCCTTGGCTAGAAAAAGCTATGGCAGATCTGATCTAGAACTGGCAATTGTTCCTCTCTGAGTGGGATTTTGAGATCTGCAGAAATTAATTTCAGAAACATTTCTGTTTCTATAATCCAATGCTGTTAGGCAAGAAGCCCTCAGATGAATAAACTGTGCTGCTAACCAATCACCAATACTTTTCAATACTCAAGGTGGCACAGCTGGAATGAACAACCTTTTCCACTGATTAGCACCAAGAATAATGGAATCCTTTTTTTCTTTTTAATTTCAAATTGTCTTCAATCATTCACACGGTGATTTTGACCTTTCTGTTTAATCTCTGTAGTTCTCCTTAGCTAGAAACAAAACCACTTATATTAGGGTAGCTAAAAATAATACAGGATTAATGACTATTCTGCTCAAAGAAGGCTGAAAGTCTACTGTTACTATTTCTTCACTTATCTGTCGTCACATTTCACAGAGGTTAGTGTTCTAAAATGAAAGATGGTGAGGAGGGCATATTTGCTTGAAAGTTATAGTTAATAACAAGAAACTGATAGTAAGGACTATTGGTGTAGTGGCAACTACTATAAGGACTGAGATTCCTGGTGCTTTGATCTCTCTTCTAGTGGATGCTGAAGCAGTGGCAGGAAAACAAATTTCCCAATGAACCTCACTGGTAATTTAGACATGTGCAAAAACTGGCTGTGAAAGAATCTAGACATTTTAAACAATGCACTAAAATTTGTTAATTTATTCTTCATACAATTGCTAGTACAGATGAAAGTATCATTAGAGAAAGAAGCTTATATGTTAGTTTATATTAGCTTAGTAATGTTGTCATAATACTTGTATTAACGTGTGTTCAGGAGATTCATACTTGTTCACCTCAAATGTGATCAAGGGCATACTTCTTTGTGTGTCACATTTATATATGAATGCATTACCCTGGCATAAGTTAATTCGCAAGAAATGTATAAGTTGGAAAAAGAGGACTCTTTTTTTATATTCTGACAATCAGTACAAGTAGGGCAGAAGAGTTCATGCCTGGTATTCCTTATTTTGAATGAGCAGGAAGCATGACATGACCTGCATTGTCTATATGTGTCATCCAATAATGCAGATGATGGAGGGGAAGCTGGTGTTGTTGGCAGTGTTAAACAGCTTGCTCTCTGCAGTGAATAATGGGCATTGAACTTATGAATTGTGTTATTCCCGCAGAGGCAAAAATAAGGCCTGCTCAGAACTCTGACATAATAGCAGAATTTTAATTATTCTCATTATGAAAGTTTTATTAAATGGGTACTGATGCCTTTGAATTTTTAAGATTTTTAGCTTTTTGTAGATTTTAGTGTAGCTGGAGGTCTTCACTTAATGGTCTTCCCTTCAGACCATTACTTTCTCGCAGTTTGTGTGTCACATTCCTGAAGCTTCAGTTCAACCATCTTTTAACTGTCTTTTCAAGGCAATAGATATTCAGCAAGAACATTCCGTTGGGACCTGCACCTGGACTGGAATAGCAAGAGATATGGTAGACAAAACAAGATAGAAGGCTCAAGGTCCTTGGAGGGGCTCCAGTGGGGCAGTTCTGAGGGTGGTATCAGGGCATAAGGGGTCTCAGGATTGGATGTCCCCGTTAGATATAATTATTATTAAAAGACATAAAAGTGTAAGAATTCTGTATGTGGGGCGCGCATCTTTGTACTCCATGGCCAGGAGGCCTTCATTAAAAGAGCTGCTCTCTATCTTATCTAATATTGCCTGGAGAGTTTTTTTCTCTCCATTCTTCGGAATGGGAAATTTCACCCTGAGAGTAGTTCTTCTTCTGCTGGTGTATTTTGGAGAATTCCCCACAAACCGATTTCAATGAAGATTTTGGCAGGATACCAACAGCTGTTCCAAGCTGATCAAGTGGTTGGAATTTTTTGAAATATTATGGTCTATGATGTTTACTGGAGTCAGACAACAAGAGTTAGTTCTCTTGTTCTCAACAGTGAGTTAATTTTTAAATGCTTAAATAGCATTCAGTTCTAGACCAAAAGTAATGTCACATTGCAATAAAACAAGTATTCCTTTGCAAAGAGAAAGCTTAACTAAAATGCTGGAGGACTATGCTGCTGGGAATGCAGATATAAAGTTAAGCACTGATCTGTTTAGATTGGAATAATTCAAGGAATGGGAAATTTCAAAATTTTTGCAGTAGTCAATATTGTTGAAGAGGTGACCTGGCAAAGCACAAGGCCTGTGTGTCAATTGCCAGGAAACCATTACTTCTATACTATAAGTCATAACAATTTCTTTTTATACTCAAATCTCCAGGTCTTTACTTCAATACATCTCCAATAATAATACCAAATGTTAGGTTATGTATAACAGTGTATGAACCTCCAGTTCTACAAATACACATGAACTGCATATTCTGCTTGTGAAAAGTCCCAAATCAATGGAAATATTTTTGCATGTGAAATTAAGTATGCACATAAGTGGGAGATAAAGGCCTGAGCAGTGTGTTTGCTTTCTTTCATCTGTATTTATGTTAGAGCTCTGCCATGGGAAAACCATGAGATGTTTTTCAAGGAAATCTAGTTCAGAAAATAGTCCTGTTTCAAGGATTGAGATGAAGTCAAATACAGGCTCTTATAAGTCTCTTGGAAAAAATGTCTCTTACCTAGATGTTAAGAAAGAAAGAAGCTGTTTGGAGGGAGTTCAAACTGGGAAGTAGGCCATAATGGTCCTTTTAAACCATAACTACCTAGATAGATGTCTACAACATCCAAGGTATGCAGAAAATAATCCAGAAATATCTGATGACCTGAGTTCTGCAGAACATCTAATAAAGATGAACGGTGCAGAGCATAGAGTGTGACCTCTGTCTCAGTTAAGGAACTGTGACAAATACATTAGGGTTCTGATTGCAATTTTTAACCCAAGATCTGCAGACCCTCATTATTTGTGGTAAAACTCATTGTCCCTTTATGGAATAAGCAGTACTAGTGCAGTTATCAAAGTTCTCTTTTGTTTTATTTTGCAAGTTAGGAAGGTACCAATGAGAAGTTGCTTTTTAGGTAGACAGAGTATGTTCACTAGAGATTTTGAGAGGTGTTTTCAATAAATTTGAAGAATGTTTTGAAGTAGGTGAGAAAAAGAAACAACTGTATTTCTGCAACAGAACTTTATCCTTCTTATTCCTACATAGCTGGATATACCATGTTCCTCCTGTATTATAAAGCCCCATCTCCTAGCTTTCTGCTAACTCTCCCTGCTTTATAATTTCCTCTTCCATTGTTGTGTGTACAGCTTGATTTAAGCCCTTTGGAAATTTTTTGCACCGTACTTAATTGTCTCTTGTCAAATAACTCACAAAAGACCAGCTCAATTTTTAATTCCCAGATGGGAAAAACCTATATAGAGTCATAGAACAGTTTGGATTGGAAGAGACTGTAAGGAAT